ATTTTACACTATATAGTATAAAAAATAATGCGGTATGTTTATGTGCTAAATACAGTAGTTGATACATGTATATCAATAGTGTTAGTACTTTATGGTGCTAGTATATTCCAGGTACATAGTCCATTATTATTAACATTAACTGTACAGTGGTATTTGTACTTGTTACTATTATTATGTGTGTGTGTAGTCTTATTTATAATTATACATTAATGTACAATGAAATAATGATTGTATCCTATACATACAGATGTCTGAAAGCAGTAGTGTTTTAAGCTGTGACATATCAGTCGACGATCGTTTTATTGTTACTGGATCTGGAGACAAGAAGGCTACAGTGTATGAAGTTATACTATGAGGTATAGTTTGAATAGTTTACTATAGTATAAAAAGTAATTCTCATTATTTTATTTATTGTTGTCTCCAGTAGGTGATATTTGACTTGTAATGAATAATGCAATCTACACTTGAGTTTAGTCTCTTTGTTACAAGTACTGACTACAAAACTCTCATGTAATATAAAATCTCTAATAATTCCAGGTAAGATATTGTTTGTCATGTTTGCTATAATGCATTAACATTAATAATAATAATAATAATAATAATAATAAAACTTGAATTCTTTTGATTGTAATATCTTGTATTACTATTATACCTGAGGGTTAGTTTGTGAGTACATTTCTTGTAAGTACTAGCTCAAGTACCTTTTATCATAATCACCAAGAGAGTACCAACTACCAATTATTATTAATTGGACTCACCACTAACTCACTAAGAAGAATATATTCCAATGCATTCAATAGCAGGACCATCACCTCATCAGCAAGCAAAGAAGACATGTTTTAACCTGATGTATTCCTTGACATACAACCAACTAATAATTACTGTACTTATTGTTATAATGTTGGCAGTGATTGGATTTAATTTAGAAGGTGATATGGGTGTGGGTGATATGAGTAATGAATATTGTTATTATGGGTGTGGCTAGTTAACTAACATTCTTCACAAACAATGTCTAAAGGTGAGTTTATGTTTTCTTCCTCCTCTTTCTCATCATGTTTGTATTTTACAGGTATCTATCAACTGGGAGGGATATCAGGACACTCAGCTCCTGTAGTAGGAGAATCAGTGTTCCTGTGGGGAGGGGATAGGCCTGACCTCCCTGTTGTTCATGATTCCCCACAAAAGAAGAAATTGTTGTCCACCATTGATAGACTGGAGTTTGGGACTGGTCATTGGTCCTCTAACGTGACCAGAGGAACTTCACCTCCTCTAGGAGCTATAGAATACTTCTGTACTACCAGAAACAATGAAATCTTCTTTTTTGGCGGCTACTGTGGGCATGACGACTGCTTTCATAATGACGTGAACTCATTTAACAGTCTAACATATGAATGGAGTAATATAATATCAACCAGTGATGCTGTAATGAAGAGAGGGGAAGGTGGTATGGTGTGTATGGAGTCTATGGGTACAGAATACCTATTTATGATAGGAGGGACTGGTTCTACACCCACTACATACCAATCACAGTATCAGTATATTCAGTTGGTTACTGGTCGTATTCGTACTAATGAACAGAATTTATTAAATTTATCAACAAGTAAGTATTTATTAATTAATACATATATTAACTATCTATACTCTGCTTGTGATGACATATTTTTCAATCATTATTTTTGTTACCATTTGCATATTAAGTAGGTGCATGTAAACATTGAAGGAGTGAGCATGAGCCATCATTGTATGAAGAGACAGTTGATTTGACTAACTAATTTTGAGTTACATCAGCTACATAAAAGTAAAAATACAAAATTCAAAATGAAGCCTTCAAGCATGGATGCATCATACTCCACCTATTAATAATTTGTCCACATGGTCTAATTAAATTTATTGATTAACGTCCCTGACCAATGCTTTGTGTGGGTGAGGGACTAGGTAGTGTGGTTGTCTGTTATTCATTCATTGATTTAGTTTACTGAACTCTAATAATCATTTTACTCCATTTATGAATGATATTGTCGAATGTTGTCATATTGAGCCACAACTGACATGTATCTGTGCAAAGTTGAACAAAATGACAAATTTAAATTAGTTGTTTTTCACCCAGCTGTCAATTATCAAAATTAATTTGCAGCCATTATTTCTTGCTATACATGTACCAGGTATGTACATGATATTTGCAGTGTCATACTTAATAATTCTAATTATACTATCTATTTCTATTTAGGACAATGGATTATTCCAACTATTAGTGGTCAGTGTTGTCCTCCTACTAGTAACTTTGCTATTCAAAAGATTACTAATAATAAAGCTGTCATGTTTGGTGGAGGAGTGCCTAGTGATGATGGTAGAAGTGATAGATCTGTTAATACAGTCTATACATGTCAACTGGAGTCTGATACTACAATAGTAAGTTATCTTACTAGACGAATGTAAAACATCAAGGGGCGAGCCTAAGCTATAGCAAAGGAATTATATAGCACTCATTTATCCATCTATTATCTACTCTGAATTTCAAAGCATGCATCATGATTAGGCATATAGCAAGCATACATGATGACAGTTACTGTTGATAAAATCATTTTAGATCTTGAATATTTTTAAGCAGTATCTTGTAGTCATCTTGCTTAACTTAAAGTTATCTTGCTTATAGTTAGAAGCAGTCACTGAAAAAATCATGTTTGAAGATTGTATATCTGCTTTGTTAACCTAGGCTTGCTGCTAGAGAAGAAACATCCCCTAGAATAGATCTCATCATGCAAGCAGCTATAGCTACAGTACATGCAGCTTTCTCACTTGCATTCAACTTATCAGAGTCCTTTATACCAAGGAAAAGACTGTATACTTGCTTTTACAACCTTTATTTTTGCTAGAGAAGTTTGTAGACAGCAGTTTATTCTTATCTTGGCGACCGTTTGCTGCAAATGAGCTCAGACTTGCTGATAGCCGCCATTTTATTGTGACCACACCCGCGTTCAATGAAGATTAGGCTATTTAACTTTAATAATAGCTAGACGGTTTGCCTGTACAAACAAACTAACGCTTTCTCGCCTTAGTGGGGCGAGCTCAGGCTCGCCCCAATTACTGTATAGGATGTATTTATTGCATGGATCAATCATGTTTGGACATTAATACATGTACATACAGGTATAGCTTGTAATTTTAAAAATGTATTTAAATGAGTATTACATGTAGATTTGGTTTAATAATTTATTTTAATAGAAACTGTACAATTATCACTAGTATTAACATAATTATTTTTATAATTAAATGGAGAAACTGTTGGTTTATTAATAACTAATAACTGTACAGTTATTATTGGTTTATTAAATTAAATAAGTGAAACTTGGCACTCTACCCTTATGCTCTTATTAGTCCATTTATCAAGTTTGGTTGATTCTTTACTGGCCTAGCCTGTTAGATATGTTGTATGTATGTCAACTGTGGTCTTATTATCAGCAGCTGGTAGTTGTTTTTTCAAATGTCGTGGTAGAAGTTGCTTATACACCTCAGTATTGGTTTCTATGGCATAGGAACCTCTGCCTCAGTGTATAACCTATTCTTAATTAATTTTATCTAGCACTGGGAGAGTGTTAAGGGACCAGTAGTACCTGCTAGTGTACAGTGGCCTGTGGAGAGACGTTTTCATGCTATTACTAGTATCATCAGTGACTCACCTACACTAGTAATGATAGGTGGAGAGGGTGAAGATGGTCAACTAGTAAATGATAGTTGGTTACTGAATACTAGTCAATACCAGTGGAGTAAGGTATGTGTATAATGTTATTAGTTTAGAGTGTACATGTGTGTGATACAGTGATTGTAGAGTAGTTGTCATGTTAATGTATTGTATTGTATTAATACCTTAGAAATACTCACTGTGTGCATGTACAGTACATGTACCTAATGCATGTACATGTATATTCCCTTGAATATTTGTAACATGTTATAAATACTGTTTACATGATAAAATATTACCATACATGTATTATTTCAACAGATTGTTCTACCTGAATCTGTTACTGGTAGACGGACTCATTCCTTATCATCAATAATGATGAATCCAGACTGTGTGTGGTTGGTGGTAGTGGGTGGGAGAGAAGCAGATGAATGGAAAGATGTAGGAAGAGGATATGCGGAACCATTTGGTGACTATATCACTGATCCTAATATCACAATATTAATAGAACTAGGTAAGAACTGAACTATTTTGTATTGTATGTACTGTATAGAGGGATTTATTGGAGATACAACTTAAGTTTAAGTTTGAATACATCATTGCTGGTATTCCATAACATAACATGAG